CCCTCATCAGGACACTGGTCACTGAATACAAGGCTCCCTCGGGGAATCCAAATGACCTCATCTCAAGAAACGTCTGCAAAGACCCTCTTCCCAAAGCAGGTCACATGGGAGAGGAGTCGGGTATTAATGCCTGTGTTTATCTTTCTGGGGGGCTGCCGTTCACTCCGTGACACAGCAGCCTTTCCTGATGCCACCCCCTGACAGGGAGCTTGCTTCCTGCCGGGGCCCACCACCAAACCCTGGGCAGGAGCCCCCACTATGTAAACAAGGAAACTGAGACACAGAGAGAAGCCACAGGCCCAGAGTCTGAGCCCACTTGCTCTGAGCAGTCCTACCACAGGAGCTGCTGGGCACAGGGGCCTCCCTCACGTTTACAGGAAGCGAGGGACTCTCACACCCACGCCTCCAAGAGAGGGCCAACCAGGGATGACTCACCCTCACTTCACAGGCCAAGAAGAGGCGCAAAGTGGTTCAGCCAGGGAGCTGAACAAACTCTGAATCTGTTTGCTCCTGTGTCAAAGAGAAGCAGATCCCACTCCTGGAGGATGAAACAACGTCCTGCAAGGACAGCACGTCCGGCCCCCGATAATCAGCACCTCTCTATTTATTACCCACTGGGGCCCAGCCTACACAGCTGCCCGCCCAGCCTCCAACCCCAGCAGAAAGGGCCCATTATGACATCACAGGCCGGGAATTATGTTATTAGCCTGGGAAGGAGGCTGGACCCGGGGACAAAAGGCTCATTGTTATGCAAATGGACAACTAGGATTGGGGGGCAGCTCCTCCAGCCTTCTAGCTTCTGAGCCAGGCTGAGAAATCAACTCCAGGCCTTCCAGAAGAATTTGGGCATCTCTTGGCCTCAGATTGGATAAGTAGGGCTCGCTCAGAGTGGGAAAGGGGCCCTTTTTCGCCTGGCTGCTTACAAAATGCCGTTTACCTACTAATACTGGGTGCCTGCAGCTGTGTGTCTTTGGGCGAGATGCTCACCTCTCTGTGACTCAGAGCGTTGTTAGAAGAACTCCATAAATTAACATGTGTGCAGTGGTTGCCCTGCTTCATCAGCCCTCAATACACGAAGCTTATGCCCCATGTCACCAGGCCCCCCTCTTGCCTTGCTCACAACCTCCACCTCTCTGACTTTATCTAGGAGATGCACACCTTCTGGAGGTGTAGTTGCTACAGGGCACTCTTGAGCACAAACACAAGAACTGCTTTTCAAAGGACTCTAATATACCCTGAGTCCCCAAAATGCATTCTCAGCCCTCAGATGCAGAACTTCTGGGATGATATGGACCTGAGTCTCCCTAGCCAGAGCCTTCATGGGTGTGACTTGCCTGGAGGCACAGCTGAAGCACTTCCATCCCCAGAAAGGCCTCATTCACTGCAAGGGGACAGGCCCAGATCCACAGCCCGTGGGGGACGCTGAGTCAGGCACAATCATTTGCAGAGCACCTGTGACATGCCCAGCACTAGAGATACTGCAGTGACCAAGAGGAACAAAATCCTGGGTGAAGGGGTTAGGGGGACATGGCAATAGACACATGATAAATCCCAAGTGACAATGGTACAAGGGGGCAGGAGTAACTTTGGGGAGGTCAGGGCCCTGCTCAGAAGGCCACATTTGAGCAGAGGCCTGAGGCAAGAGTGTTGCAGAAAGAACATACAACAAGTACAAAGGTTCAATGGCAGGACCATGATCGGAGTTTCCAAGAAACAGTCAAGATGCTCATGAGGCTGGAATGTCCCCAACTCAGCCCACTCCCTGCCCTCCAGGCTCTGCCCAGAAAAGCCCAGAACCTGAGATCCTGAGCTATGAGTGGTGCTCCCCGAGCCTCAGACACAGCCTCCATTATTGGACATGATTGTGGATACCCTTCCCGACTCAGCCCCAGCAGGGCTTGCCAGTACCCTGTCCCCAGCCTGGGATGGTCTGGAACCCTCCCAAATCCTTAGAAATAAAGCAAGCCCTGCCTGGACCTCTGGGGACACTTGAAGGCCCAAGCCCAGTTACTAGTCAGTTGTAAGGGAAACAAAAACCTGTAAGCCCTCTCTCAGGAGTCTCCAGAGATGTGTCTAGCCTCAGATTAGCTTTGGCTGAACAGAAACGCATTTCTCATGCTTAAGCACCAGCTGGGGATAACCCAACTCACTCTAGGGTGAGCTAGTTACATCCACCGTGGAGGTGCGAAGGGGTCCAAGAGAAACCAGTACCTTGCCACAGGAAACAGCAAGAAAGGAAAAAATGCAGCCCAGAGGACAGAGAGCAAGGAGGAAAGAGGAAGCAAGTGTGGCTATCACAGGAGTGACCCCACGGGCCTCAGAGGTGGCTGAGAGGGGGCAGACTCTGGGAGGGCCCAGGAAGTCAGAAGAATGAGAGGTCCAGAGGTCAGGGCTCTCTGGTTTTCACAGTTCATGAGCCTAGCCAACACCGCCCATCCCAGCCTCCAAGCCCAGCCTACAGGTAACGACAGGAGAAGAGGAACCAGGGCTCACAGGCTCTGGCTAAGGTCAAGTCTAGCCCCAGCCCTTACAAACTCTGTGCTCTTGGGTGGGTCACCTGACCCAAGCCTCAGTGTCCTCGTCTAAGAAGCAGAGATCATATAGCACCCTCCCATGTCTCGGCCAACTCAGGTGTGGAATGAGTCAGCGAGGGGAGAAACACAGTAATCGCATCAGGGATGATACTCAAAGAGCACCCCCCACGCAGCACTGGGCACACACCAGTGCCTTTCTTAACACCTTGCATGTCACCTCATTTCACCTTCCCTCACGCCCCACAACATACCAAATGTTATCCCCAGTTTACAAATGAGGACTGAGGCCTGGAGGGGCCAAGCCACTTGCTCTAATGCACACAGCTACCAACAGGCAGATCTGAATTCGAACCCAGGACAGCCTGGCCTTGAGCCTCTACTCTTTGTCTCCCTAGATCACTATAGATTCATAGACAGCCATAAGAAAAAAGAAAGCTTGACCCTGCGTATCCTCAGCCACCCTCCCCCAATGGGAACGTCCCTAGAGAAGCCCATGTCAGGACCAGAAGATTGACATTGACACAATTGACCTAATTCAGACCTCGCTGTTTTACATGCACTCATTTGTGTGTATATGAGTGTGTGTTGAGCGCTATGCACCTGCACCTCAGAGCAGATGGGAGGGGCGTCAAGTCACTGAAACTCTCAGGGCAGGGCTGGGACACCCACAACCCAGCTCTGCAGCTGACCCAAATAGGTCAAGCAAGGTGACACTCATGGGGCCCCCTGCTACAGAGGCTTTCCCAAGGTCCCCAGGAGAGGCTGGAGGACAACCGGACAGCAGGCAGCTGGTGTGGACCGCCTGGACACCTGGGGAACTCCCTGCGGGCTCCTGCTGGCCCAGGAGGAGAAGCCCTGAGCCAGCCACCGGCCCAGCATCCGGTGTCACTTACAAACACAGGATGACTGCCACCCTCAGCGGGAGAGCCAGCCCTGCCTGCCCAACCCCCATGCCACGCCAGGCAGTAGGGGTGCCTGGCCCCTGCTTGGTGGGGGATGGAGCAAAACAAGCACACACTGGGACAGCTCCAGGGCGCCCAGCCCAGGCCCAAATGCAAACAGAGCCTGGGGCTTGAGGAAGGACCCTCTCCGCCTCGCCTCCCGTGATCTACACCGTGGTTTCCAAATCTACAGGGTTCTCGACAGAGAAGAAAGGAAATATCGGTGAAGCCCAAGGTATAGCTAACTTAAATCCAAGCTTATGGTCTACACTAAAGGAGCCTCCCCACACCAGCCCACAGGGGCCCTGCTCAGGCAAGTCTTGGCTCCCCACCACCACCGTGCACCTGCAAGCCACTCCCGCTGTGTGGAGTTCTGTGACCTCACACCTTACACGAGGGGCAGCGCGGGGCCACCTTGAGCCACACAACCACTTCTGGGGTGGAGACAAATGGAGGGCCCATTTGCCAGAAAACTGAGGCTAGGAGATGTGAAATAATCTGTCCAAGGCCAGACACAGCCATGAAGTGTTTCACTGGGATGTGAACCCCAGTAATCTGGCCCCAGAGGGAACCAGGAGGCTGCAGCTCTCTCTCACCTCATCCCAAAGCCTGAGTGATCCCCCCCCCCACCTATTACCCCATTTTACAGACAAAGGAACAGGCTCACACAGGTGAGGCAAGACCACCCAGTGTAAAAAAGGGATGGAAACAGGATTCAAACTCAGGTCCATGGCAAATGAGAGATGCCATCTTGGGAAGCCAGCCCTCCCTGGCCTGGGCTCCAGGCCCCCACGAGACGTCCCGCTACCTCCCAACGGTCCTGGCGCACCCAGACCTCAGGACAAATCCCTCCCTCATCCCCTGTGCCTGCAACTGAAGGCTCCTTGTGAGCTCAGGAAGCCCTTCCAACTTTCCAGTGTTTATGCCGGCTCCTCGCTGCCAGGTCCCTGGGCAAGCCTGGGCTGGTGGCGCTGATTTCAAACCAGACATGGGCACCCGGCCAAGCGCCACCGCGGTGGGAGCGGGCGCCGGGGCAGCCGCAGCGCTGCCTGCACCTGGCTCCCCTCTCCTGCCCCCTGCAGCCAGGGAGCCCATCACCCAGATCCCGAGGCCCCCAGCCCACCCCCACCCCGCAGCCACAGCGCCAGGAGCACCCCGATCCCTCGGCCCTGCCCGCTCTCCTGCAAGGAAGTGTGCACCCCGGTTCCGGGCAGCTCAGTCCGCACCCCGCACATCCACCCCGGCGGCCAGACGGCGGCCACAAGCCCTTCCTGCAGGGCGCCCTGCTCCGGACCCCAGCCACTCGGTCCACTGCGACCGCCGGCCCTGCGTCCCCCAGCGCCACCCCGCCATCGCCACCCGCCCGACACAGGGCCGGCCACCTGAGGCCACCGTGGCCAGGGTGAGCCCGGCGGCCCCCGGACAGATGCCCCGGTGCCTCCCGGTCTTTGCCCACCCCTCCTGGGCCACGACCTGGACGCTCTGCGACTCCCTGCCCACCACCAAGCCCAGAAACTTCTCTTACCAGAGCACATGACCAGCCTTCCACTCACGTCAGCTCCCAACACAACTTGAAGTAACTCTCCCACAAAAAAAAAAAAAAGAAAGAAAGAAAAAGAAAAAGAAGTAAAATGTGCCAGCAAGTGGGTCAGCGGAGTCCACACACACAGACTGTTCTGCTGGCTTCCAGAAGACACCCGGTGTCCGACATCAAAGCCATCCTTCCTGCGGCCGACGCGGAGAGCGGCCGCTCGCCTTCCCGCGAGACTACGGGCGCCCGGGCCGAGGAGGCCCCGCGGCCAGGCCCAGCCCCCGCGCCCCCTCCCCCGGCCCGCTGCCCCCCACCCAGCCCGCAGCCCCAGGCCCACCAGGCACGAGCCGCGGCCGCCGACCCGGCGGGGCCAGAGCTCGGTGTCGGGCCTCCGCGGTCCCTCCTCGCCTCCTGCCACTCCGGGCCTATAAACACAGAGAATTACATAAGTCCACTCCTCTTGTTCGGAAGCCAAAAGTACTCGCTTTTTCTCCCAGCCTTGGCAGTAAGTAATAATTCCTCATCGCCATGGTAACCCTGGCGGGCTTCCAGCCGACACTCAGGAGCTGAAACGCTGGGAGGCCTTTTTATAGCTTGGTAGAAAAACCTCTTCACTATTCCCTCCTCGCGGGCGAAAGCGAGCTCCGGCCCGAATTCTCCTACTTCAACGGGCTTCCTCCGGCCCGACCGTCCTCCCGGGAGCCGGACCTGCCCGCCTCCTCCCCGGAGGGCCTGGCCAGGACCCAGAGCCGCGGCCCGGTCCCTCCTTGGCCTCCAGAGTGACATGGCGGAGGAGCAGGCTCTGCCTCAAAAATATTTCTGCCCTACTTGTAATCGCAGGAGAAGCAAACATGACCCGCTCGCATCGCTATTCTGAACGAGGGTCATCTCGGTGACAGGCCCAGAGGTGAACAAAGCCACCCCCCCCACATACACACACACACGCACACGCACACCACACGCACACGGGCCAAAATGGATGCTCTGGTGGTCAGCCAGGGGTCTGAACCTTGGCCGCAACCGGCTGTATGACTCAGAAACAAGTCTGAGCTCCTCTGGGTGTCAACTTCCCATCTGTAGCAGGGGCAGGCTGGGCTCCGCTTCCCACAGTACTCCCTGCGGTGGCCACCAAGGGAAGCGGCTGGATCCCCTGGGGGGTCTCCAGATTCACGCCCCCACCCCCTAGCAACCAGAACTCGAGGCCCCAGGACATTTGCCCAAGATGGCATCCCCAGGGATGACTAGGGGAGGGAAGGGGGTCCCCCGGGGATGTGGGGCAGGACGCTGTAGGCAGGAAGCACAGCCAAGGTCTGGAGGCAGGACCACGTCCAGCGTGTTGCAGAAGCAGAGAGGAGGCTGGAGTAGATACAGTGAGGCAGAGAGAGAAGATGAGGTCAGGGGGTAACAGGAGCAGAGGGGGAAGTAGGTCAACAAGACACTGGGCAGGTCACTTAACTCCGCAGACTGGAAAGGCTCCCAAGGGCAATCATGACAATGACCCTGGCAGGCAGTGTACAAGGTGCCCAGCACTGCATAGGGCACTTCACCTGTGAGCTCATCTGTCCTTGCCACAGCCTGACAAAAGGCCAGTGCGCTTCTGAACCCCAAAACACAGAGAAGGAAATGGGCCCAAAGAGGTTAAGCAGGCTGCCCAAGGTCATACAGCTGGAAATTGGCTGGGCTTGGGTTTGAAAAGGGCAAGCCTGGCCCGCACTCATCCTGCCACGTGGTACAGTCCATAAGGAGCTACAGAGGGTCTGGGGCAGATCGGATTTACACAAGACCAAGGCCTATGGCCACTGGCCTAGCGAGGGGGTCAGCGTGGCTGCCAGGAGACCAGTAAAGAGGCCCTACAGGGGCCATATAGTGTTGACTTTTGTCAACTCACCCTCCCGCCTTTCCCAAGGCAACTCCCTTAGAGTGTTAGGGGAGGGCTGCTAGGACCTGCCCTGAAAGCCACGATGGGGACCTCACTCCTCCACAGCCTCGAAGATGGGGAAGCTGAGCCACAGAGAGAGATAGGCAATACAAAGCCACATTTTTACTCCCCAGATCTGGCGGCTGTCTCCTGCCTGTTGGCTCTCATTGTAACTGTCAGATCACAAAACCCAGGAACGGGTGAAACCAGCCCCACCAAAACACGGCCAGGAAGCGGAGCCTGAAGCAGCAGCAGCAGGACTCACGGGTTCCTTTTGTTCTTTTCTGTTTGTTTTGGACACAGGCTTGGACCCAAACCTTCACAGAAGCTGGCCCGGGAACCAGGAGGAACGCATCCACACCCCCACCAGAGCTATTTATGCTTGTGGCAGGTTCAACACTGGGCCGTGTCATTCCACGGTCACTTCTCCGTCTTGTGCCCGAGATGCTGGGCCATGGACAATTTGTTGAGTGACTTCATGAACATGGCAAATCATCACCAACCAGAAACAGTGACATGCAGGTCCCTCTAGACAAAAGAACCTGAGCGTATGTTCAGAGTAAGTTAGCAAGGGGTCCACTGCCTGGCAAAGGAACACCTCATTCTCCCAAGACTCTGACAGAGACTGTCCCCAGGAAGCTGTCTGCGGGACAAAGCTTTGCACACCGGGAAAGATCAGTGAAGAATTTAACAAGACACGCTTTGGTGGAAGCCATGGAGGCATAGGTGGAGAGGCAAAGGGGTCCCCGAGAGGAGGCAGGAAGGACTCTCTGCAGGCATCACTCTGCTTGGCTGTGAAATGGGGACATGCTGCCTGCTGCCTCTCTCAGGGTCAACAGAAACCATACCTGCTGTGGTGCTCAGGGAACCACAGGATCTGGCCCCAGTGGAAGGGACCCCCCCATACACTCCCTCCCTCCCCACAGAAGCAGAATTGGAGCTGAGGGAAGAGAAAGAAAGAGCAAAAGAAAGGGGTGCCTGGGGGGCATCTGCCTTCAGCTCAGGTCATGATCTCAGAGTCCTGGGATGGAGCCCCACATCAGGCTCCTTGCTCAGCGGGGAGCCTGCTTCTCCCTCTGTCTGCTGCTCCCCCTGCTTGTGCTCTCTCTCTCTCTCTGTGTGTCTCTCTAATAAATAAATATAAAAAAAGAAAGAAGAAAGAAAGAAAGAAAGAAAGAAAGAAAGAAAGAAAGAAAGAAAGAAAGAAAGAAAGAAAGCTAGAGACGTGAGCCTGTTCCCACATTCCTTCTCCTATCCCGCAACCCAGCACTCAGAGCCCGCACAATGGGACAGGAGGATGCAGCCATAAAAAGGAAGGAAGCAGTGACACCTGCCACAACGTGGGGGAGTCTCAAAAACATGACACGCCGTGCATGAGGTCATACACAAAAGGTCACATATTGTGTGATGCCACTGATATAAAATTTCCAGAACAGGCAGGTCCACAGACACGAGAAAGCAGGTGGTCTCCAGGGGCCGCGGGTAGGAGAAATGCAGGAATGGCTGAAAATGGCTTCTGGGTCTCCTCTAGAAGGTGATGAAAATATTTAAGAACTAGAGGAAGGTGTTGGTTGTGTTCAACATCACTTGGGAATTAAAAAAAAAAAAAAAACAATGAATTGTTTGCTTTAAAATGGTTAATTTTACATGATGTGAGTTTTACCTCTGTTCAATAAGCTAAGAGCCTCTGACCCCAGTCTGCCACCCAACAAACACATACAGAGGCCCTACTGTCCACCGAGGTGACTGGGCAGACAGAGGAGTTGAAGACAAAGACCCCTGCCCTCGTGAAGCCAACACGGGAAGAGGTCAGGAGTCAACAGCAGATGAAGATGTGATGTAATTCACGTAACAAATGGTTTCTGAAGTGGTGGCCATTCAGCAGCAGCCTGGCTGGAGAAGACAGACAGATGCGGAAACTTCTCAGCAAACAGGGTGCCAGGCAGAGGAAACAGCTAGAGCAAAGGCCCTGAGGCCAGGAGGCCACCGTGGCTGAGATGGCTGGTGAGAGTCCCAGGGTGCAGATGTACAAGGCCTAGGAGGCCACACACAGGTCTTTAAAATTCACAAAACTGCATCGGTGTCCGAGGGCGGCCGAAACAAACTGCAACAAACCTGGGGGCGGGGGGTGAGGGGGTAGCTCAAAGCAAGAGCTATTTATTCTCTCACAGCTCTGGAGGCCAGGAGCCCAAAATCCAGGCTCTGGGGAGGATCCTGCCTCACCTCATCCAGCTCATGGTGGCCCCGGGCGGTCCTCTGCTCCTTGTCTCTGCTCCCATCTTCAAAGGGCCTTCTCTGTGTATCTTCTCTTTTAAGGACTTCTGTCATCAGACTTTGGGCCCATCGTAATCTAGGATGATCTCATCTCAAGACGCTCGACTTGATCGCATCTGCAAAGACCCTCTGTCCAAACAAGGTCACATTTACAGGACCCAAGCAGACACAACTCAACCCACTACGTGATCAAGACTCGATTCGGCAGCATCAGATGCTTTGCTCAGCAACGTGCTGGGCCTCCCCTCTCCTTTCTGCACTGAGTCCAGGGAACCAGGTCGGAAAGTGCAGGGACAGGCCCATGGACCTCTCAAGGAATCCCCCCCAGGGACTCCACAGCCGGCCCTCTTGAGGCCGAAGCCAGCTAAAAGCAGACAGTGAGGAACCCAGACCCCCTTCCCTGAGAGAGGTGTCCATGAGCCACTTGCCAAAAGGCTTGCACAAAATGGACCTCCTTGACAGGGAGGCCAAAACGGGCCACAGCCTTAGCCCCAGAACGGAGGAGACTTTGCCAGACCAAGTTGCACTCTTCTTTCTCCACCATTTCATCCACCTACAGAAGCCATGTCCCGTAGGGCTCTTTTCCTGTGTGCTGTTTTTGTTTTACAAAGGGGCCGCCCCCACCCAGAGCAGCTGTGAGCTGCAGTGGGCAGGGCTAACTGCTCACTCATGTCCAAGTGCAATGCCATCCCGCAGCAAAGGGCACAGAGCAACTGGCGGATGGCTGCCTGTTCTGGAGCCCCGGGAGCCCACACCCCAGCAGCAGAGGAAGGAGGAGGTGTCGGGGAATGCTCCTGGCCTCTGCCAGCTGGATCTCAGGACCCAAACCAGGAAGGACAGATAATACCAGCCCAGGGGAACACACACACTCCCAACACACCAGGCACTGGGCAAACAGGCTTCCATGTGCTCCTTTATGCCTTAGGGCAATACTAAGGAGCACAGCCGACCCATTCTACAGATGGGGAAACCCAGGAACAGGGATGAAGCGACTTGCCCAGGTCGGGAAGCTAGAAGTGGCAAGGGTTAGAACACAGGGAATGTAGTACCTAAGCTTATGTCACTAACCCCGAGGATT